AGACTGAGACAGACGGAGACTTGAAGAGTGCATGGGTGAATGTGGTGAAGACTTGAGAAGACAGACAGACCCCAGAAACTCTGCAGAGAAATCCAGGTGGTTCTGTTTCTCTCCCTCTCCATCCATATTACCATATATTGTTCAATAAATGATGATTGGCACTGCAGTGATTCTCCCTGTGAATTAATTCTATACACGACAATATTTCCTTTAAAATTACACACTGCATTCAAAATACAATCAACACATCTCAAAATCAAGTATTTGCATCAAATGGAAAACGTGCTTCATAACTAATCTTTTGGATATTTCATGTATACACTGTTGTTCTAAATCTAAAGCTCATCTCATCTCATTCATCAGGCTTGGTCTATCTACTGTACATTGCCATACAATGTTCTAGAGTGAACGTAATCTGCTGAGGTTGAAATGTACACAGTAAACACCAATGCAATGGTGAAACAAAATATTTATTTGTCCAAAATATTACTGCTGTACAGTATACAAGAAAACAAAACCATACACTATGAAAATTTGTACATAAACCATAAACACATGCAACCCTAAATTAGAACCTTCTTCAGGATAAAAACATTTTCTTTTGGTGGGATGGGGTGTTGTAAACCACCAGCACTGGCCTAGGCATGGCTTTAGGCATGACTGTGACTGGTTAGTGATCAGTTAATTGGTGGAGTGTGAAACACTGGTGAATAAGTGCAGAATTTTGATTGGCAGGCAAGATAGTTCATGTTTGATTTTTCTCTCTTATGTAAAGAATTGTCATATTTAGCAAAAAAATGTTTTATGAGATTTAAAACTGAGTGAAAGGCTTAGAATTAGCTTGTAGTTTTGCACACTTGGTGTGTGGCTTTCGACTTTGAGTGACATGTTTCAGAACCTGTTTGGCATGTAATGATTTTGCATGAAAGCACATGTAAGATTTAGGCACCTATATGAAATATAGCTGCAGCCCAGGTTATTCTCTATCAAATAACATATTGCGCCTGGGTCAGGAGCATCTTGTAAAAGCAGACCAATCTTTTGGAAAAGAAAGCCAACTTATGTTTTGTGCTCAGTAACAAAAAGTAACCGAACATGTTACTGAAATCACTATCATATTGAATCTACATCCACTTTAAAAGTAGACATTCAAACAGACAATTGCGATGTGTTGTATAAAAGGCAATTATGCATTTCTGAGCAATTTATTATGAAATATTCATATTAATGCTAAAACCTTTAAATAAAGTAACTGAAAACAGTTTTTTATTGTATTAGAATGGGACTTGATAAATGTGGTCATTAATTCTTTGACGCTCTGAGATCCAATTTCAGTGAAACGTCCTCATTAACCAGACAGATTTGAAACATAGGCCTTTTGATGTTGTTAGATACAAAATGGAGCAAAAATAGCAAAAAAAAAACAACATACAATTTAATCCAAGTCACTAAAAAAATAGCAAAAAAAAAAACATACAATTTAATCCAAGTCACTAAAGTGTACCCTGCAACAAATGCTGCCTTTGTGAAACGTCTTATGTTTATTTTTAGTTAGGATCAGATGGATATTTATTCAGTGGTTATTTGGAAGGTCATGAGACTGCAATATATTGAAAGGTGTTATTTTTCTTTTCCGCCTTAAAGACATGACAAAAGAAAGCCAAGGAAAGCAGAGGAACTGAGAACAGAGAGATGTTACTTTTTCATCCATCCACCATTATCTATACTGCTTATCCTGAAGAGCATCATGGAGGGCTGGAGCCAATCCCAGCTGACATTGGGAGAGAGGCAGGGTATACCCTAGACAGACTGCCAGTCTATCACAGGTCTGACATATAGACACACACGCACGCTCGCTCGCTCACTCAAACAGGCACCTTAGAGTTGCCAATCAACCTAAGTTGCATGTCTTTGGACTGTGGGAGGAAGCCGGAGCACCCAGAGAGAACTCACGCAGGCACAGGGAGAACATGCAAACTCCACACAGAAAGGCACTGGGTTGGCCGGGGCTCAAACCTAGAACCTTCCTGCTGTGAGGCGACAGTGCTCACCACTGCATCACCATGCCACCCTGTTACCTTTTCATTAGTGTAAAAGAAAAAAACAAAACAAGTCTGTTGCAAACATTAATTCCCCCATGACAGCAAGTCAGCATTTAGTCAGTTAAAATATACAGTGGCAAGAAAAAGTATGTGAACCCTTTGGAAATTTCATGGTTTTCTGCATTAATTTGTCATAAAATGTGATCTGATTTTCATCTAAATCAAGAGTGAAAGTCACTTTCAGCGTTTCCCGTTTTAGGGGTCACCACAGCGAATCGCCACACTGACGACTAAGTCAAGAGTACTGATGAATATAATGTGCCTAATATAAC